CCACCGCCGGGTGCGCCCCAACGCACCGCGGCCGCCCTCGCTGAGAAGCACGCGCGTATGCGGCTTCTCACGACTGGCCGGGAGCGGAGCGCGGCCCTGTCGAGGCCCGCGGCCTTCGAGGCCTCCCTTCGCGAGGCGGTCAGTTTCATCCGCGCGGTGCGTTACGACGAGGAGGGGGATCGCACCCTCGTGGTCGTTGCGCTGCTCACTGGGCGGACGCACCAGGCGCGGGTGCACCTCACCGCGTTGGGACACCCCGTTGTGGGGGACGCGGCCTACATAGGGCTGCGGCGGTGGCTCTGTGATACAACGGGATGTGGAGAAGAGAAAGGAAGCGAGGAAGAGGAAGATAAAGGGAAAGACGGAAAAGAGGAAGAGGAAGAGGAAGAGGATGATGTCACCCGGTACTACCGCGGTGTCACAGAAGAGGGTGCGTCCCGTGTGGGGCGGGCGGACGGCGAAAGGGGGGCGTGTGTCTGCCCCGCCCGCATTTGCCTTCACGCCTGGCGGTATATCCTACGCGACGGGGGGAGCGAGGCTGCGGAGAGAGTGCTTGAGTCGCCCCCACCCTCCTGGGCGGTGGTGGAGTGAGCTCCTTTCGCGGCTTCCCTTGCGGGTGGGAGCGGTTTGGTTCGTTGGGGGGTTGTTATTAATGCGAAACGTCGAGAACGTTAAGTTGCGGGGATAGTCACATACCGCAACGGTTCTGCCTATTTACAGACAATACTCAAGGCTTCAAGATACTTGGCCTCTTTTCATGCTTTATATGACCCTCTTGCTCCTACATCCAATCTAATATCTGTTTTTTTACCTCTTCCGTTCGTATTGTTCTTTTACCTTTCTCTTTCGTTAGCTTTGCCTATCCGCGTTTTACAAAAAGGAGCATTTCAAGCGAACCCTTCACCTTTACTACTATTAATCATGACTCAGCAACAAGCCTGCACCTACGCCGCGCTCATCCTTCAGGAGGTCAACAAGTGCGACGCCAAGAGCATCCGCGCTGTTACCGCCGCCGCGGGTGTGGAGGTCAGCCAGGGCATGGCCGCCGCCTTCGAGAAGGCGCTCTCCGCCGTGAACATCGCGGATGTGCTTGAGAACGTCAGCTTCGCCGGCGGTGCGTACACTGGTGCGGCTACCGTGCGAGATGCCACCAGCGCTGCTGCGCCCGCCGCCGAGAAGGAAAAGGCAAAGGAAGAGAAGCCAGTCGAGGAGGAGGACGACGATATGGGCTTCACCCTGTTTGACTAAAAACGCGAGGTGCGCATGCCCCTTTCGGATTAGGAATATGCACTAGATAATTATTTCCTGTTTTTTAAGCATAAAAATATAAAAAATAGAGTTACAAACCCCCTTGTGGGGACCTTATAAACACGATGTATTTGTTCCTCTCTTTCACTAGTCTTAATGAGCTCTTCCTAACCTCCTCGTTATTTGACTCTTGCATCTGCAAATATATAGATATATATATTTATATTTATACATATATAACGCTCTTCTAGATAATAAAAAGGGATGATAAGATTCAACTGTCTATTTCTATGTCATGATGTGGCCTGTGGGATAGCATTCCCTACAGCATACATCGCTTGGATGAATCCACAATCGAAATAGATGAGAGCACAAAATAGTGCTGTAAATGGCTAAATTCAACCGGCAGATGATCGCTTTCACAGAAAACCCTATATAAGGTGGAAAAAACTCGCTTTGGGGGAGTTGCCCTCTTTCCCGTGGTGTGAAACAGAACGCGAAGTATTCCTTGATATGAGGTTTCACTTTGTATTGCGTTGTGGAATAGGGTTGTCGACTTGAGCCGAAAGTTGCTCACATCACATTACACACCCACATACATACATATACATACATATATATATATATATATATATATATGTGTGACCATTGACGGGTAATAAGCGATGCTCTGTAGAATTGGGTGGATATGTTCAATCCCATATACCAGCGGTGCGGCCTTTCAATTGGATGTGCGGGAGGAGGGAGGGCTATCCTTTCGTCTCCGGTGTTTCTTTACCCCATGAATGCTGTGTTTGACGCGCTGCTATTTGCCATCCCTCTTCTATTGTTGATCCTTCCGACGATTGGCGGGTCTCTAAGTTCCATACAGTAAGGGAAGAACCATTAGCAAAAGGTTTCAATAACGAACAACAAAAAAGTAGATCAACGAGAGAGTTCCGCGCGGAATGGACCCCTCTGCGATCGCGGATACCGCGCCCTACCATCTCGACTCCCTCACCCTCCCGCTGCCGCCCGGCGAGTGGGCCGTCTTCGCCGCCGTCACCTCCCTTTTTGAGTGGACGCCAGACCGCCGAGGGGCCCCTGTGAGGACCAAAGGGGAGGAGGAAGAGGAGGAGTTGCGGCCCGCGCGTCGATCGCGCTCGCGTTTTGAGCTGCTGAGCGCCCGGGTGGAGGTGGCGGTGGTGGTGCTTCGCTCGAGCGCCGTCGCCTTCGTCGATCTTCGCGGCCGGCGACGGGCGCCGTCGTCGGCGTCGACGTCCTTTCGCGCGGCGACGCTCGGTGTGGCGGCCTGCGCGGCGCTCCTCCCTCTCGAGGTCTCCTTTGCCTGCCGCTTGCATTACCGAGTCGACGGCGAACGACAGGGGGAAACGGGAGGCCCCAACGGGGCGAACCCGGGCGAGGGGGTCGGCGAGGGGTACGCCTACCCGCGTGGCGTTGTGGGGGGTGAGGACGGCCGCGTGAGCGTCTTCTCCGAGGGGGCCTACCTCCTCAGCTTCATCGCGCACGAGGGGCCGGTGGTGCGGGTCGAAGGCTACGCCGCCGGGGCGGGGCGAACGGGCGAAGGGGAAGGGGACAG